CAGAGACAGGTATGTGTGTGTGTGTACTGGAGGGTGACTCTGCTTTGCCAGTAAGCAAGAATACTGCTGAGTATGTGTATGAGAGAGAGAGAGAGAGAGAGAGAGAGAGAGAAAATGTGCCAACTGAATAGTGTAGTTTAATAATGCTCACCCAAAACTGCTTACATGTTACACATATTGCTGCACACATGGGCCCAACTCCAATTCATACAACCCTTACTCACTTCCCCTGGACCCTTGACACCTGCCCTTAAAAAAAAGTACTTTGTAATGCTGCACAGTTTAATAATAACTGTATCAACTAATATCAGACAAGACCTTTCAATCAACAATGAAGCCTCAAGCACAACCGATCTGTCCACGCTCTGCCCACAAATGTCCTCAACCTGTTGACAGGTTGGACAAAAATCCCATTCAAGCTAATTAGAAACTGTAGCACAACTTTTACTCTCTCATTAAGAACTAAAAATGGTAAATTTAGAATATAATATTAACAAACTACTTATTTTGTACACTACCATTCAAAAGGTAGGGCTGTTGGAATCAATGTTTTCCATTATACAAAGCTAATTTAGTTGTAGATTAATGTAGAAAAACTAGGAAGCTGTAAATAAAAATTGAGCAATTTCAGACATACAGAACGATAAACTGAGCTGTATGATTCAAAAAAGGCTAAGGAAGCTGCAGAGCACCGAGAACGACATTATAATAAAATGAACATCCAGAATTCAGCATATTTTAAAGGTGGAGATCAAATCTCAAGGCGGACAACTTGACAAAATTATATTAATGTGAACTGATCAATATTTGCCCTTCTATATACTGTAAAACTGGCTCGACAGATCAACCTAATTTTTTTAAATATTAAAAATATTTATTAAGGTTGAATAAAACTAGTTAATTTAGTTGTTACCACATTAAGTCAATTTTTAGGTTGATCTGATGAGCATTTTTTTACACTGTAACTTCTTGACTGAAGTTTAAGGGATGAGTGTCTGATTGATAGGCTAGACAGAAAGTTCAGTGGCTTCAGCGAGTTTCAGAGAACTTATAGAGAGGAGAATTTCCACTCTGCAATGTCTTCTGGGTTTCTCTAACGCTAGAGGGCGCTCCCGAGTGAGTCCAAAATGAATGGGTTGATATGGAGTATTTGAGCAAAATCATAGTTTATAAATGCTTAAACATTTTTAATGTAAAGCAATGCAATCATCTCCTGAACACAGAACAGCATAAATCATTTTAACACCGCTGTTTTTTTTTTTTAAGAGCTTAAACGAGTTTAAAACGGCGTCTCATCTACGTCCATGACGTCAGTCAGCGCGAACAGCCAATGAGCTGCTCCGCTCGCCAATCAATCATCACGCTCTAGCAGTAAAGCCCGCCTCCTGCTGCCTAAAACCAGTTTGTTGTAGAAAAAAGGAAACATACAGGTGAGATTTCTTTGTTTTTTTAGTGAAATACATCCTTCTACTTTCTAAAATTAAAGAAAAGTTCTGGGCGAGTGATTATTTTAACACCATTGAGCGCCATTTACTCCCATTCATCGAGGACTCGCTCGCGGGCGCCCTCTGCTGTTCAGCAGTCCTGTTTTTGATATAACGGGGGAAATAGGAAGTGGCCAGGCTCCTCATAAACCGGCTCTGGCTGGTTTAACATTGCTAGCTAGCCAAGCAAACATCATAGCCTACATGACCAGCTACTGCAGAATGGCTGAAGTTACTCTAAAGCAGGGGGCTCCACTTTTGGGCAGCCATGCTATAGAAGATCTGCTGACACTTTCCCCACCATACTTGCTTTACATTAGAGCAAAAACAAAGCATGACAGTGTGTTGCTTCAAGTTACATCTATAAAGTCAAGCTACTCAGTGACAGCAACGGAGACAAAGGAATGGAGGAAACCTTTCAATCCCAGTCTACACTATAAGTCAAGTACATCCATGAAAAAAATCCCTCAGGTTAACTTCAGCTACGCTATGGCAGATAATGGAGGAGGCTATGATGCTAACTTAGCTAGCTAGCAATAGACTAGCTAAAGCCAGTAAACTGCTGTTTGGCCCATCAATCAGATCTGTATCCCTAAAAATCTTGTTTACCTGACAAATAATAAGGAAATATATCAGTCTAGCCCAATATTTGACTTTTTAAATGTACACAAAATATATAATAATATAACATCATAACACATGATACATGTGGGTATTCTGACAAAAATGGAGTTGTATGCTACCCAAATGAGAGGAATAGTTTGGCAAAAAATTCAGAAATCTTCCCCTTACCTCAAATTATTTTATCAGCCAAGACATGTTTTGAGCTACGAGGCTAATGTAGCTAATGGATTCTTCTCAGTGCTGAATCGTGCCTATAGGAGCTAGACCTTCAGTTTGGGCCATAAATGTCAAAACTCAGTCAAAAACAAGGAAAAAACATATCTACAATAATGCTAACTTGTGCTAGCACCCCTGTGGGGTTCCTGTAATGTGTTAAGGCTAAGCTAACTGCCATTTAGATAAACCTTTATTGCCTGGTTCTGGGTTAAACACTGGATTAAACAATTTGAAGCTTGTAAAAGACATTCCATATGAGGCTAACAGAGAGGCTATGATGGTAACACAGCTACCTAGCCATGTTAAACTAGATAAAGCCAGTGAATTTTTTGTTAAAAACCCTGCTTACATGACAAAATAATAAATAAATACAACACTCAAGCCCACCACTGTGAGTTTTAACATGTATACAAAATAAATATATGAAATTAGGAAAAAATTATACATGTTTGTGCTACAATTTCTCATTAGCTTGAATGGATTTTTGCTAACATTTTGTAATAGCTATGTTTGCATGTGTGGGCAGAGAATGGACAGGTCAACTCTAGTGGAAACTCCTGAAGGAAATGACAACAGAAGACCATTTTTACATTCGGAAACAACTTCTGTTTCTCTCTTTGTGGATCTGTAGGCTGGAAGCGGGTCAGGGAAGTAGGGAATTTCATTTGGATTGGAATCAGCCCACTGTTTAACATTGCTATCTCTTCCTCATACTGACGTCACAGCCTATACTTATTGCATTCCATACGCTGCATTCTGTACGACTGACATTACTGTGTTACATACTGGTCATATCAGGACCAGGTAGCACGCAGTAGAGAATGTAGCCAGTTTGAGCTGAAGTGTACGGATGTAGACAACAGCTGCGTTCCAAAGTCTACGCTGCATTTCTCGGCTGCTGCGTCATAGAAGGCTGTACCAAAGTGAAGGACCCTTCAAATACAGCCTAGAAATGCAGCCGATTTCAAGGACACAACTGATGTATCCTTCCACGCCTTCGGTTACCCACAGTTCTCTGTGCACCACGAAATTGGTGGAAAAACGAAGCCGTTGGAGCAGAGCTTGCTTTAAAATGCAAGTCGTTCACATCTTTTAATTCGTCTTCGTTACCTTATGATTGATTAATTAAAGCATTCGTCCAAATATCCTACTTTAATCAGAAGTATTTGTATATATATAGTTTATCATACTACATAAGCTTGTTAGCATATCAGCTACCATAGCAACAAACACAATGCAACGGCTCCATTTTCTCTCACCAGTTCCCTCACAAGTTTCGCGGTGCAACTGCAAGAGGCGGGACCTCTCTTGTAGCCTCGTGTGACCAATAGGCTACTAAGGAGTCTTCATAGGACAGTCCTACCGAGGACCCGCACTACATCAGCTGCAGCCTAGGCTTTGGAACGCAGCTCACATGTTCATATACACTAGTGTGCGAAAGTTTGGAATCTGTTGGTAGATTAATGCATAAAGTTATTCTAATATGCTCAGCCGGCGCAGCTAGGAAGTTTTAGAAGGAGCTGTAGAAGATTCTAAATTGACACAGAAAGCTGTGTAACATCAAGAATTAAGGTAGAATTTAAGAATTCATCATATTTCAAAAATGGAGATCAAATTTCGAGGCAGATAACTTATTTTAAAGTACTGTGAAAATGTCGGAGACCATGTTTAAATTATTTCTTTCAAGCTACAATAAAATTAAGTACAAGTAATTCATTTTTTAGCCTCAGGGTTATTTGGCAGAAACCTACACAGAAGCCTCAACTAAACAAATATAATTTTTTCTGTATTTACTGTGTCCACTTCATCTTCACCAGCATCACAGGAGCCTTCATGAAGCTTCACTGACTGACAGCTGGGCTCGTTACCCAGAATGTGTTCGAGCCGTAAAAGGGGCGCGGTCACTTCTTTGGTTCGCGTCCTCGGATTCTTTAAACTTTGCTTTCAGACTTTAAACTGTTCTTTGACGCTGCAGCCTCGTTCTCCTACGACCACGTTTGGTCATTTCTTTCAAATAAGTGTATCCAAATGTTTATGAGGTCTCAGCAGCGTGAAATTGTGATGAATGAGGAGTTGGATTGACGTAAAAGTCACATGAATTCCAATCTGACTGTTCAGACTGAGTCGGACTGCCGAATATCAGATACGTATCGGATTTCAGTACCACATATGAAAGCGTCTCAAATCGGAATTGAAAATGTCAGATTCAGTAAGTTTTTCTGTTCACACTGACACACAGACACAAATCTGTGTCACATATGAAGAAGAAGATTCGGACCACTTTGACCTGCTGTGTGAACAGGAAAGTCTTAGAAGTTGGTTGCTGGATAAAGTTGGTCTCCGACTTTTGCACAGGACTGTAAATAGATAATTACAGTAGATTATATACAGTTTTATGCACTTCTTGTTTACAGAAGTCAAGAAATTTTGAATTGAACATCTAAAAACACATTTGGCAAATAGTTTGTAATATGTTAATCCACGTTTTGAGCTGTTTTTGTACAAAAAATAACAAATATTCTTAATTTTTCCAAACTTTTGAACGCTAGCGTACGTAAAACTCGGTATGGGTTTAGTTTACATTGTCGCATTCATAAAAAATAGTAGTTTATAGGAGTACGACAAAATGTTCTTAACTTTAATGTATGTTAATGTGAAGAGATTTTACTGATATACTGATTTATTAAATGTTCTTTATTTTTATTCATAAGCAAATCTGGATAATTCCTATTTGTCACTCCACTGTGAAATGTTAAAGAGTGTTCAAACATAAAAACAACTGAGTTACAAGTTTCGATGTGGTTGTATAATGCAATATGCTCAAATGTTTAATAGTGTGTCTGTGAGAAGGGTCTGTAAGGGTCACTGCATGGGGCACTGCAGCCCTGACCTTTAGATCTTTAGTCTGAAGGGGGCACTGTGCTATAATATCAGCCAAAAAAAACAAAAAAAAGATACAAAAACAACAAAAAACTTTCACAAATTAAAAAAATTCCTTCAAAAGGCAAAAGTTCAGAGCGTTTTGGCCCACGTATCTCTCTTATTAAAATATCTCTTCTCTTTTTCTTTACATATTACACACACCTCTACTAATCCCTCCATCCGCACTCTCACATGCACTCCTTCACCTCCACAAACAGCAATTCCTCCTTTCTCTTTCACGCTCCATCCTGCTTTTTCGCTCTCTCTCTCGCTCAGAAGACGTCAGGAGGGTCGTCGTTCACAGCAGAGGTGTGAAGAGAGGGAGGCGTGTGCGAATGCCGACGGATTTCCAGCAGTGAGTCAACAGGTCGGTCACTCGTCAATCAAACATCAATCAAACGTTCCGTTTCTTTGTCTATCCTTGGTAGAAAGAAGTAGGAGGAGAGTGGGCGGGGCACAGAGCTGCAGTCCGCGAGGGAAAAATCCCTCTTACTCACTCACTCACTCACTCACACGCGCTCAGACTGAACAGAGTTACAGACGAAACACTGATTAGAGTTCACTCGTCGCTCGTCCACAGAAGGGAACATTCTCTCCCCCTCTTTCTTCCTCTATCTGCAGGGGTCGGGGGGGGGGCCACTATGCTATGTCACGTCCTCTTCCTCCGAACAGTAGTCCCGTCCCTAGAGAGAGAGAGACGGAAACAGACAGACAGACAGACAGAGAGAGAGAGAGTGTTGTAAGAAAGCAAACCCTGAGCGTGTTTACATACACTTAATAATCCGATAACTGCAGAAAATCAGATTTTGTTAGTAATCCAATCGATACGCTTATATGCTCTTGAATAATCAGATAATGGGGAAACTCTGGGTCTACATGAGTCAGGCAGTATTTAGATTTCTGCTTTACGACCAGCCAATAAACTCACAGAAGACGACGTTACAGAAACGTAATTTAAACTCAAACTTTATGCTGCAGCTTTTTACATTGCGCCACTTTACCTGTAAATATGAACAAACATCATCTAGAAGATGAAGAATATTTAAATCCTTCATATTGTCAAGCATGTATTTGGTTTCAGCGTCGCTCCAAAAGTGTTTTGCTGCACGATGCAGCAACTCTGCTCGCTTATTTCCGGTACGGCAGTCCGTTTTCGCACATGCGCAGACTGAGAAATCCGAAAGAAATCAGAGTAAGAGTTCACATGCTCTGAGAAATCTGATTACTGAGCTAAAATCCAGCTCTCTTTTTCAGATTTCTAGACCTTACTCTGATATAAGAAATCAGAGTGTGCTGTTTACGTGACCATTTGAATAATCAGATAACTGCAGAAATCAGATTATGGTCGAATTATTGAGTGCATATAAACACACACACTGTGAGTGAGAAAGAGAGTAAGATACTAAAGCACACTCACATTAAAGCAAAAGTGTGGCATAAAAAATAATTTAAAAAATCTAATCACTAAGTCGAACAGCTGAGCTATGTTTGGCTCTTTAGTTTCGCACTGGAGCTACCTGGCTAATGTAGCTTAACAAGTAATGGAAATTTATATCCCACCAATTAGCCTTTTAGCAAAAATTAGCAATTGGAGTTGTTAAGTAATCACTCAAGTCCCACCTGTTTATCACTAGAAAGCATGAAGGCCCACAAAAAAACAACGGCTTTGCTTAAAAATGTTTGGGAAACTTTGAACAGAGTGTTTTTGGGTGCCTATGCTTTCAATACGTGACATGTATCAGTAAACATAAAATATCAGCAGGAGGTTTTTCAGAGGCACATTCCAAATGAAGCACCAGACAAAAGAAAAACCGGCAAGATGGCTGAGCAAGCGACGAAAGAAACCCACAAATGTGAGAATCTTCTCTGTTATAAAATTACGATAACCATTAAATTATCTGAGTGTCGTTTCAGTGTATTATGGTCCTTTTCTTCATAACAAGCATTAGCAAATTGCTAATGTCTCGGTAGCTAACTAGCTAACTTTCCCATTCCACCTTAAATAGTCCAGCAGTTCCGATGCCTGAAGCGCCAGACTGTTACTGCTGCTCCATTTAAGGAGGAACAGGAAAATCTGAACAAGAAGCTGATGACTTCAGCTTCATATCACTGAAGAATTATGGGTGGGTGATAATAAATTATCACCCCCCTCTTTGAAGGCAAATGATGCCCTAAATGTAACTAAAGCCCAGCAGTGAGGAGCTGAACTTTACCCTCCTCTGCTGTCACTGCAGACTGGCAGGGTCGCCTACAGAGCAGCGCTAGTAGCTGTTAATGAAGTAATGCTCTTTTTGTTTGAGGGTCCCATTTCATAGGGAAGATTTCAACCACTACCCCTTGTAAATCAGTTCCAAGGGCAAAGTGACACTCGAAAACAAGGGGTAGGGGTAAAAATAAGAAATGGGACTGGGCCTTAGAGTCATATAGTGTCAGAAACCACATTAGCCAGCTAAAATGCTAAGTGGTGCACATAAGCTTCCATGACTTGTTGGCTACATCAGCTTCGTAGGTTCTATGCAAAACAAATAAAGGAACATGTTTTGGCTGACGGACTACATTTGAGGGTTTTTTTATATTTCTGTGTAAATTTGTCTTTTCAACAAACTATTCCTTAAAAGGAAGTGCTCCGTGAGTGTGTGAATGTGTGTGTGTACTGTGGGAGCTGAGGCGTCTCCGCTTGGAAAAACACTGCCAATTCTCATCACTTCAAAATACACAAAAAACAAATCTTTCAGAATCTTATCAGCACCATCTAAAGCCTTAATGATCCCTGAAGAGCGAGCATGAGAGAGAGAGAGATGAAGGAACAAAGTGGGCAGAGAAAAGATACACTGCACATCAACAGTTTCGCCTGGCGTCAGCGAACAATATGACGTAATTACGGAGAAAACGAACAACCGCAGACGTCGCGCAGAGGCTTGGCGAACTCCACGGACAAAGACACTATGCAACAAAGCCTGTGATTGGTCGGCAACAAAAGAGGCGTGCCATGAAACAAAGATGGACGACTTTGAGGAGCTTCACTGCATGCACACCAATGTTTCACTGTGAAACGCGCATTACTTAAATGAACAATCAAAACCTCCTAAATGTAAGATGTTAAGTGTAGTAAGCACCAAAACATGCAGGGTATCTTATATTTAGGTTCACAAGAGGACGAGGCTGAAGTTGGCTTTGTATTTGCCAGCTTCTTGTTCGAATTTTTCTGTTTCATCTTAACCCTTTATTGCACAATGTTGCCTCAAGGCAACAAACCCATTTTCCTCACCTTTCCAAGGGAACAGTTTGAGTAAGTCAACAAAAAGCATGTTCCTGGTCATACTATCTCTTAGTGGGCACATTAAGAGCTCTTTTTAACATTCAGTATTTTTGTTATGAGAGTTTGCAGAAATCTGTGTGTGACAGTGGAATGGATTTAGCCAATCACAAGCCAGGTGTCACCGCTTTCTTCCCATTGTCGCACAATGTTGCATGTTGATGTAATATACCCCAAAATGACCCCTGCAAAAATTATTTTGAAAGAATGTTTTGATATTTAATAATCAGGTACATTTCATGCAAGAAAAGTGAATAATTTTTTTTAATTGCTTTCATAACACATGCAGTAGAGGGTTAGGTGGTGGCAGCATTCTGGACGTGCACGTTGCCATAGTTAGAACTGTGATAGAATCGTTTTCCACTAGTCATGAACTTATCATGAAATGTCATAGTGCCACCTGTTGGAGTGGAGCACCGCGGTAGACAACAAGAAACCGCAAAAAAGTATGTGAGCTTGTAAGCTCGTGAATTCGCTTTCAGCTTTGTGCAACTCTCGAGAATTTCGTTTCACAAGAAGTATGCTGAGGCCCTTCGACGTAGACCCAGTTCACATGTATATTGACAAGTTTTTAATCCTCTGTTTTTTAGGCCACAAACATAATGAAAACAAGAACAGAAAAGCAGATGACAAAGCTCGGCCACAAACAGTCCTGCTGCATGAACTGATCATGTGTTGTTACATTACTGCGGTGGTTAAAGTGCTCAGTACTCAAGGGGGCGACAGAGGAAAAGTCAGACGGTCTAAACAGGATCTACTGTGACACAACTGTGCTGCTTCACTTGTTCTATTTAAACAGACAGGAGATGATGTATCACATATACATACATATATTATTTACTATCCCAGGGGTCGGCAACCCAAGTGTTAAGAAGAGCCATTTTGTCAAGTTTCAACAAAAATCAATCCACCTTGTGAGCCACATTTCATGTCCATTTTACTGAAGTGACATTTCACCATCTTGACTGTAAATATGTCTCAGTATGTGTTAATGTACTAGTATAGGCTAAAAATATAATAGAAACGCAAAAAAAAGACTTACTCTGCTCTGCTTTAAGCTTTAGCTCAGCTATAGCTGCTTTTCTCGCATCTCTGGCAGGAAACTTTTCCACAAAAGTAGAACAGTTTCTTGTAAAATGTCTCTCAACGTTCGACTTTTTACAAGGCTTGTCATTCGCCAGTTTCTTGTTCAAATTTAGCCATTCCACCTTAAATGGTGCCTGAGGTGCCAGAATGTAGCTAACTATATGGCTAACTGTTGCACCACTTAAGGTGGAACACAAACATTCGAACCAGAAGCTGGCGAACGAGAAACTGACTTCAGCTTCGTGACTTTTTAGTGTTTGTCAGTTTCTCGTTGCAGATTAAACGTATCAGGAAACCAGCTGGAGTGATTATAAACACAAATAGGTCCATTTGTCTCCTAATTATCGATGTTCATCTTAAATCTCTCTCTTTGCCATTTCGTTAGCTACTAACTAGGTGAGACTGTTGTCTTTGTTGCTATGGTGACCAGCAGTCTGTGCACCAGTCTTCAGGGTTAAAGGGTGAATTAGCAGTTCTACATTAACTCCAGAGTTTAAGACCATTTATTGTTAAACTGTGTTGAACGATCAGCAGAGCTTTATTTTACTGTAAAGGAGGATTATTTTATTTTTACTTACAAATCTGATTCTGCTGTGGAGCCACAAGAGGGCAGTAGAAGAGCCGCATGTTGCCGACCCCTGAGCTTTTAAAAACAGCCAGTGAACCTACACGTGCCTGAGCTTTTATATGTAATGTTGATGATGGTAAAATAGTGGTAAATCTGAAAATATATGTTTTATTTGGGGACTATTTTGCCTTACAAGAACCTGCACGTACCTCTCCACCATGAACAGATTTTAGAACATACGTTTTAGTCCAAAACCTTCTCAAAATAATCGCAAAACAACGTTTCAGGCATCAGGCAGTGTTTTCACAACGCTTTCATGTAATAACTTTATGTGATGAAGGTTGTAGAGGCATTAAACTCTTCAGACGTCTGGTTCCTATCACCACCACCGTGCACTGTTCTGAGTTTCTCTAGAACAGAGTATTTCACACCAAACCACTCTGAATGGCTTTGATAAAATTTAAAACACTGCCCTTTATATGTGTAGCCAGTTAAAACACGTCTTTTTTAAACCACTATAATCAGGTAACTGAACTTTGTGTCACATCTTTACTTCCCTGCACATGAAAGTTGCATGTCCACACATTTCATCCCCTTGTTGTGATGTCAGCGCTCATCAGCACTCAGACCTGTCAGGCCTTAAACCATCGCTGGACCAAAGGAGTTCTAACATGAGCTTTAAACAATCGTGTGGAAAAGAAAACCATCAAATTGTCATTTTGACAAAACCTGCTCTTCATACCGAGGAAGACACTTTGATGAACATGAATCGTGTTGAAGCTAAATATATCCGAAGTATCAGCAAATCAGACATTACAAATCAAACACTCTGAAGACACATTGTAGACAGGCAGCGCAGCAGTGAACAAAATCAGTGACATAATCAGGACTGTGTTTTTCCATGTCAACACAAATGAACAAGCATTTCCTGCAGGGATGGACAACGCTGGCCCTTTAAATCTCCGAGTCCAGCTCAGGCCCCTCCCTCCCTCCCTCACCGCCACAACACACACACACACGATTCCTCGTTCCCACCCTCCCTCACCTTCTCAATCTTCTCATCCAGCATTCTAAAGAACTCCTGCTGACTCTCTGACGTATGAATACTGTGAGAGAGAGAGAGAGAGAGAGAGAGAGAGAGAGAGAGAGAGAGAGAGAGAGAGAGAGAGAAAGAAGGGAAAGAGGGAGAGGGAGAGACAGAAAGGAGAGAGAGAGAGGAAGGGAAAAGGAAGGGAAAGAGGGAGCGAGAGAGGCAGAGGGAGAGAGAGAAAGATGGAGCGAAAGAAGAGAGAGCAGAGAGGAAGAAAAAGAATGAAGAATGACAAAGTAAGAGAGAAGGATAAGATAAAGTAGGAAAGAGAGAAAAAGAGAGAGAGAGAGAGAGATAAGGGAGGAGGAAGGAAGAGAGAAAGATAGAAAGAAAAGAGAGTAGGGAGGAAGAAAAAAGAGTGAAGAATGATAAAAAGGAAGAAAGAAGGATAAGAAAAAGTGGGAAAGAGAGTGAGTGAGCGACAGAAAGAGAGAGAGAGAGAAAGGGGGGGGCAACAAATAGGAGAATTTTCCATTACAACAACAGCAGAATAATAGTACACTCCCCCTCTCACTCTCTCACACACACACACACACACAGACACACACACAGACACAGACACACACACAGACACACACAGACACACACAATGATGCTGTTCATCTCTGATGCTGAAAAAAGACTAAATAAAACTGAACTTCACTTTAACACACCATTCTGACTGATTATCCCCGCCCTCCACACACACACACACACACACACACACACACACACACACACACACACACACACACACACAGAAAGCACACTCTCTCTCGTTCACATACACACTCACTTGGCTCTGTTGGCGTTGGCTCCTGGGACCTCCTTGTGCAGTTTGGTTTTATGTGCTGAACTCTTCTCCTAAAACACACACACACACACACACACACACACACACACACACACACACACACACACAGGATTTAACCTCTCAAACACAAACTGTCCTGATCCACTCTGACAGATCAGTATCTTAAATATGGCATTTTTCTGCTTATTTTACTGCAAAATAAATGAGTTTAACATGTTG